ATTTATCCCTTTATCTTATATTTTTTCAACTAGGGAGCCAAAAGTCCTGAACTAGGGATCCAAAAGAATATTATATTTCAGCTTGTCCTGAACTAGGGAGCCAAAAGTCCTTTGCCCCTAGAGAACCTTCTGGCATCATATAGCTTACTTATGAATAAAGTTGCACTAAGTCTACTTTCCCCTCTACTATTCTAACTGTTCCAGAACTAATAGAATCACATCTTCCAGGCGAGAGAAAGTTGCAATAAATCCAGTGAAGTCCAGAATTTGTGAGTTGCCTGGCTCAGGGGACAATTCTTCTAAGATTGGTTACATCAAGCTTACCTCATTTAATCAAAAGGCCTCTGGTAAGGAAGATCATCTGTACTTTGTAGCTAGAGCAACTACACTTTAGTTTGACTCAGACAAGATAATCAAATAATATAACTGAAATTTCCCTCATTCATTTTACTTATCTGCACGTCAATTGAAAACAACATTATGTCTAGGGCATTATCTTGTAGTATTCTCAGTCTTCAAGGGATTCCAAGAGATAACGTGTTTTTGTTTTGAGATTACGTCCTTTGCAGGTGCTGTGAAGGAAGCTATTGATTCTTTACGGAGTAACAGGGTTAATGCCTTTGTACTCGACCTTCGGGACAATAGGTGATTAGCTTTCACTTTTCAGCACTTAAGTTTGCACTTTAGCACAGTTCTTGAACTATGGATCTTGTTGCAGTGGTGGTCTTTTTCCCGAAGGAGTTGAGATTGCCAAGATTTGGTACGTGCTATTTGAGTATTATCTGATGTATATTCGTGTTGGAAGCTTCAATAATGGTGTAATATGACACAATGGAATTCAAGTAGATTACATTTAAATTTATAACATGGCAAAAGATTCTAGGTGATAGAAGTGGTCACTTTGCATTCGTCGGCTCTTTCACCTGGATATCAAATCATAGTTCATGGAAAATTTCCCTGTTTAGCATGTAAGTCATATTTGCATTGCACATTACATAGAACTGCAGATGTTACTAGAACTACAGATGTTACAATTTATTGTGGTCAGGATATGAAACTAACTTTCCTACACAACACATCCCACTTGGGGCTTGAAACCATGGAAGAAGATACTTGGACAAAGCCCATGTTATCCATCCTCCCTAAGGTCACCAACCAAACAAAACGCTGTGATCTTCCTCCGAATTTTAGCCTTCTATAGTGAGATGAAGAAAGGGGAGGGGAGGTAGATTGGGATAAGGACAAAACAGGACTTGCTAGAGAAGATGATTGCTTGAAGGCTCCAAATTCCAAGTACGAGAATCACTTCGTATTTATTTAGGGAAAGGGGGTCTCTTGTAGCAACAAAAGAAGGGTAGACAAATCTTGGAGCTTGATTTCATAAATAAATCTTCTAAAATAGAAATCAAATTCTAAGGGACGTAGGAAAGTCAACACTAGGAATTAAAACTGAATCAACAAACGCCTCTTTGTTTCAGCAATGGGAAATGGGTTTCTGAGAACTCTTAAATATGTCATTTAGAAACCACATTAGCTGTAGGCTCACAACCATAGTTCATGATAATCTTGTACCACATTGAATCTGGTTTTTGAAGGGAAAGCATCATATCACTTTGCTAGGTCAATTAGGCTCCTATTTGCTTGATTCCTTTTGCCTGCCCTCGCTAAATTCCTTGTAAAATAGGTTGTCTGTAGTTTGTCTACATATATTTTAATGAATCGAGTAGACTTATATTTATTAGGTGATTTTGATGCTGTGCATGCTCGAGATCCATCATTTCATCTTTTCTCTTTTTCATTGATCATTTCATTTGCTAATTTACTTCTTTATTTTGGAAATCAGTAATTTATCTCAGTTTTAACATAATACTTGACATAAAAGAATTTAAAAGTTGATAGTGTCACGTGCAATGCACATAGAACTCTGCTGCCTGGTTTCATATTATCAGTTCTTATTCAGGTTGGACAAAGGTGTTATTGTGTATATTTGCGACAGTAGTGGTGTCCGAGATATATATGATTCAGATGGAAGCAGCACTATAGCAGCTTCAGAACCACTAGCCGTGTTGGTAAACTTTCAGCTCTATTCTCTTTCTAAATAAAGGCGTGCTCAAATATCTCATCTGTTGTTTCTTCATCATCACAACCCTTTAGTAACTCAAATTTTAGTTCATCTTTAGCATTTCATCAAGTTACATTTCTTTTCTTGGTTTGAATTTAAAGCCGACTTCCTTCAATGAATACCATGCATTTTCTTCATGCATAAAAGATAAAGATTCCCTTTACATCTTTCTTATTCTATGGAGTTAACACCATTTTGTCTTATTTCTGGACATTTGCAAATCTAGTGTATGGAAAAGTGTAATCCTTGCTTAATTTTATTGTGACCATTTTGGTGATACGCTTATATCAGGTCAATAAGGGAACTGCTAGTGCAAGTGAAATACTAGCCGGTGCATTGAAGGATAACAAGCGTGCTGTGTTGTTTGGAGAACCAACTTATGGGAAGGGGTAAGAACATTTTGCAGCGCCACAAAATGTCATTTTTATCCGTATTCCTAACATGAACTCACATCCCTCTCATGCAGCAAGATTCAGTCAGTCTTTAAACTATCCGATGGTTCTGGCTTGGCAGTTACAGTAGCTCGTTACGAGACACCAGCCCACATCAACATTGACAAGGTCTCCCTGTCTCTTACCACACAAACACACAAACACTTCTCAGGAATCGAAGTTCTTAACACACCTGGTAATACTACAGGTTGGAGTGATTCCAGATCGTCCTCTACCGGCATCCTTCCCCAAGGATGGAGATGGTTTCTGTAGCTGCTTTGAGGACCCTGCTTCTGCTTGCAATGTCAACAGGGTACAACTATTTTCAAGATGATAAAGATTATTTTGTTTAAATTGCCATTATTTGACTTGGGATGCTAATGCTCTGTTATCTTGATTGATCAACATTCTTTACATTTAATAATCCTGCAAGTTTCTGTTATAGAAATTATTCACAATGTACATATAAGAACAGTACGTTTGATTTGTATTATACTTTAATGAAATCAATGTACAGTTCGAGACACGTCTTTTGTCGTTTATTTGAAAACCCAGGATAGTTCTCAAGAAAGACCCTGCTGCACTAGATTAAAAGGCTTACACTATGCATAAGAATAGTTTTGAACTTTTTATTCTATACCCAACAAGATGAGGAACTTGTTGAGGTTTTATGTAACCCAAGTAGTGAGTAAAAATTGGTGAGGTATAGAAGACAAGCCTAGAAGCTCATTCTACTAAAGCATCCTAGTCCATGAACCTAAAAATGGGAAAACAGAGATTAACAGTCTCAAGAGCAGGGGAGTATCACTTTTCTTTTCTCTCCAACTCAATTTACCATTCTCCATTGATGATGAACTACTGCTCTTTTTTTTTCTCCTCACCCCAGATTCAACTCCATCAAGATCCTCCCATCCACCAAAATTGGTTCCACTTCTACTCTCCTTTCTAACTTCACCACCATTGCTACCAACTTCCCATGACTGATATCCATAGCCCATCTTTCCCTTACCTAACCCGTTTCCTTGTGCTTCTTCTTCTTCCTCCTCCTCCTCCTCCTTCACCCTCCTCCTCCTCTCTGTGCTGTAGAATGGTCTCTTCCTGGTCTTGGTTCTGGTTCTGCGCTTTGGCTTCCTTTCTGGCGCTCCCCATAGCTTCTCTAGTGCCAGAGATATGATTGACTGGCCTAGTGGAAGAGCTAACGCCATTAGAAAAGCTTTTGGTCCTGAGTTTAACAGCAGTGAGATGATTATGGGTGGCAGAGCCCAGCCGTAGGATTTGAATACCTGCACTCACCAAGATTGGCTGATGAATTTTACTTACCCAAAGTCCAGAAATGCCAAAGAAGAAGAAGAACTCTTTAGGTAATTTTATCAAACCGCAAACTGAATTCTCTCCTTGAATATTTCTATATGCTAAATATTACCCATTGTAGGAAGCTGGAAACAGAGAAGCATCGAAGGGATCTATGGATGATTGGAAATGGATTGGGTTACCTTGAAAATCCAGACACTGTCGATCACATCATCCAAGACCCCAGAAGGTTCTTCATCGAACTCCGGCGCTGGCTCGTCGGACCACCAACGGCGGCGTGTCTTCCGGCTGGTTCCGAAGCGAATGCCGGGGTCGAAGCCTTGCTGGGCGGCTTCTTCGTCTTCATTTCTGCGTCTGAACTTCTGGGAACCGAAGGATTCGGCATTGGAGTCCCAAGGACGGTAGTGGGTTGTCGCAGAGGAGAAGCGAAAGCGAGAAGAATGATTGGGGAAAATGGATCGCCATGGATGAGTGAAGCTGAAGCTGGTGGGATGAAGAAGGAGGGCCTTCATTTCGCCACGTTATCCGTTTTGTAATTGCTTCCCTATCCTCCTCTCTTAAACCTCTCTCTCCTTCTATCTATGGCCCATAGTGGGTCGTGGAATGTTCTCTTTCTATAAAATTTTACATTTTTATTTAAAGATTTGATATTTAACCAAAGAACTGGGAGAGATTTTAAAAATTAAGGAACAAGAGAAAGGATTAAAAGATATATATATATATATATATATATGTATGTAAAAGGATCTATCCGATCATAGATGAGTTGTAGATAAACGTTTTCGATTGTATACTTAGAGTGAGAATTTTTTTAATTTTTTTCTAAAATTTAAGGGTATTAATATTAATATTAAAAATTTAACGATATTTTTTAAAGGTGATATTAAAGGTTAGTATAAATATTAGGGATAAGATTTTTTTTTTTTTTTTTACTTTTTAATAATTTAAGAATATTTTTTAAATAAAGGATTAATATGAATATATTTTTAATTATTACTATTTCTAAGTTTAATTTTGAAATCTCGTATGTATATATATATATATATATATATATTGATATTTTAGACGGTTAAAATATTATAGTAAAAATGGAGAATTTAAAACAAAGTTAATAATAATAATAATAATCATAAAGCTGGAAGCGTGATTGTGAGGGCTCGATATATCTATCCCTTTGCTTCTCCAGTTCGGCACAAAGACGAAGCAAGAAAAATAAGAGCGAAACAGAACTCAGAAATAAAAGTTGGGCGGCTCGAAGCGTGATTGTGAGGGCTCGATCAGGTAAGTATCTTGATTGATTACAATTTCTTTGCCTCTACATTTTCTTGTTTCTTGTGATTTGAAGCTGTTGTAATTCGCTTCGCCTCTCGATTTTCTTGTTTCTTGTGATTTGAAGCTGTTGTAATTCGCTTCGCCTCGTTCAAAATTCTACTCCGGTGAGTTGCTAATCAAAAGATGTCCATGTTTCATTAATGAAATCTTCTTTGATCTTGATCATTTTCCAGTCGTTCATTATATAGAAGCCTAAAAGAGATCGAATGATTGTTTCGCTTTTTATTTCGATTTTGTGAAGTTCCGAAGAAACATATTGGTTTTGTTATTGATTGATTGCAGCAGCGAGAGGAGAAATGAGGCCTACACCGATGGAGTTCTTTGCGGAGATGGAAGAACAGGGATCGACGGTAGCGATGGACGTGGATGATGTCGATCCACTTGAGATATTAGGCGAGGGAGTGATCTCAGCAGAGAACAAGCTCGCCGATGCCGATTTCTTCAACTCCTTCGAGGACGATTTTGATGACTCCGACATCAACTGAAACAAGATGATTGATGCTAGTATGTCCTACTGCTTTTTAGGGATTTCAGCACTTCTAGTTTCTTGGCGATAAATTGAAAATTGGAGACTGATTGCTTTTGAGTACTTGATTGGTTATGGCATATTTGCTTGCTTTTCCCTCAACCACAATAATCAACCGTGTAATCTTTGTCATTAGTTACAAGGAAAATTAAGGAGGTGTTTGTATGTAGTAGACAATTCCTGCAACTATGTGCTCCATTCTGATGTTTAGTAATCTATTTTGGACTTTGAGGAAGTCCATAGGTTAGCCTGAATATCCTTCGAGTATAACTGGCTTGGATAGGTTAGCCTGAATATCCTTCGAGTATAACTGGCTTGGATGTCAAAAACTTGCTGCTTGCTAGTAAGGAATAAGGATAAGCTCATCCCTATCTGTTATTCTTCATTTCTGTTAGTCTACATTTACTAGTGTAATGAATAGGCGAATCTCACTGTACTTTTATCTGATAAGAATCCCATTTGAAACGAAGAAGGGACTTTATTTAGGGGGAAAAAGCTATCTCTTTTTTGTGATATACGAAGAGAGTTTCACCATGGATTTAGAACGGCGCAATTGCGCCATTGTGTCATATTACAGTTGTCTTGTAAGCTATAGGTTTTCTCATGAAGGGTCAGCATACGGTTAATTCTTGAATGAGTTGTTCCTAAATATCCTCTGTGAAGTACATAGAATTTTTCTATACTCTTTGGAACTACCCCATTAGATACTGGCAATAGGTCTGCTTTGACCAACAACAATGTAGAAACCGAATTAGAATTGATGGTAGGTTTCATGTGTACCCCTCCTTTTTTCTCGAATGGAATCAAGTGGATAGAGTTGAAATAAGTTGTTATTAAGGGTTAAATCGTGGCGAATGAACTATACCCATGGTATCTCAAGCCAGCTTAATTTAAATCCTCCCTATGGGTAAGTTTTCCTTTATTTCTGTTTCTAGAGCCAAGAATCCAGCATTTGGATGTATGAGGTAGTGGAACTTGGAAAGTCCAATGTTTTAATTAAACCATTTGGTAGTTAGTTTTTTCTGAGTTCATTGTTGTAACCTCATGCCAATTACCACCTAGTGTTGGGGGTCAGCATGATTACCGAAGTTTTTGCATGCTAAAACAATGTGTCTTGGGGAAAGTTTTATTGAGTTCTTGTTGTAACATGATGCCATTTACCATATAGGTGGAGGTTTGACATGATAAGCAAATTCAGATGATCCGATGTCTCGATTTTTTGAGTAGGTGATAATCTAGAATAACGTTTAGATTAACACGAGTTCGCAGTTTTTGTCTACTAGGAGAAGGTTAAAACATCAATGCAGCTTTCTTGATGTAATTTTTGCAGTAGGCTGAATGTAGCTGAGTTGATGCAGCTGGGACTTGGAATGTTTATTAGTAGATAGCTCATGAGGATAGGCACTAGACAGATAGTGAAGTATATGATGGATTTGCAATCTCACTCGAAATCACAAACACCTCTAGAAACTGCTCAGCATTTTGTAATTTTCTTTATTTCCATCGGGAGAGTAATAAGTTTCATAAACGGGTCTTTTTATCTTTTGATAGCGTGTCCTTTTATAATGGAATTTATCCTTTGTTTTTTCCTTCTCATTCACTCGGGTCTCTTTCGCTTCATCGATTTTGTCCAGATCCTCCTTTTCTTCCGAAAAAAGGGAAGGAGAAGTAAATTGTGCTCGGTGTCATATGAAACCTTTTCTCTTTTAAGGTCAACCATGAACCATGGAATCTAATGAGCAAGTTTCTGGTTCATGAAGATTATGTATTATGTACAGGACGAAAAATTCCACATTAATCAATGTTTGCTATTGTCCACTTTTCTAGTATTTTCATAGACATCATTTCTCTTCCACAAAATATGTACAGATGGTTTCAAAATGTAATACCAATGGAGGGCTAAACTAATTATATAAGAGTTTGGAGTGTTAATTAACCCATACAAAGCTTAGGTGAACACCAAAAAAAAAAAAAATCTTGAAAATCTTGATGACAATTGTCACTATAAATAACAACCATAATTTCAATGGTCGTGATTAATATTGACATAATACAAGTGGATCGATCAAGAAGTCCAACTCTAAAGAAAAAGCATTATTGATAGTATAAGACCATACATATGGATAGATTTAACTACTATTTATTTGATCAATTAAGTAGATAAACAGAAAAAATCATAACTATACTTAACAATAAAATACTCAAAAAAGACCACATAGGTGATAGTCTAAGACCATACATATGGATAGATTTAACTACTATTTATTTGATCAATAAGTAGATAAACGAAAAAAATCATAACTATACTTAACAATAAAATACTAAAAAAAGACCACATAGTGAATAAAAAAAAAAAGGTATATTCAACTCTCTTTTACTTTCATCATTTATCTTTTCCTATTGTGCATCAGTTAATACTCTTGGATTAAAGTTCAATTGAACTACAAAATGAAGTAAGATGTAGATAAGTTTTAACACAAAAAAGCAAATGAGAAGGATTTAAAAAATAAAAAATAAAAAATAAAAAAAATAAAATAAAAACCATGACCATATCTAAACATCCTTCTACAAAATGAAGCATGATCTTACAGAGCAGAATGTCGTGATTCTTCTAATTGAATTACTAATCTGAGCTAATCTCAAATAGGCAGAGCAAAAGATCTATATAGTCACACCAGCCATAGGTAGTATTGAATACAAATGAAGTCTTATGAGTCGTGTTCGATACCAGAAGGCTGATTACCTTCCAATTCGAACTAAAAACTAACCAAACATCATACAACTCTCTAACCATCAAGCCAGTCCCCTACAAATTCAATCATATCCCCTCCAAGTTCATCCCAGCAGTAAACTTTATTTTTTAGGACAAAGAAAAATCTCAAGTGGGCTGGCTTCTACAACTGAACTAAGGAAATTCTTCATTTGAAGCTGTAAACAGAAACCACCATGGCTTTGCTAAATCCTGCAATCTTTCTTGGAAAATCATGGGAAAAATTACACTTGTCCAATCAGTTCAATTCAAACATTTGGAATTGAAGGCAAACAAAGCACAAACAATAAACTCGACCTTGAAACATTTTGCTTTTTTTTTTTTTTTTTCTGTTTTTTTTGCTTTTTTTGCTTTTTTTTTTTAAAAAAACATATCTGTATGTGTGAAATTCCAGGTAAAGATCAAATCAACTAAGCACCAGATCAGTTATTAAATTACAAACAGAAAAATACAAGCTTGTACAACAATGGTGCGCCAAACTGAATTTATGACATGCCTCTCTATAAGGGGATTTGCATAATACTGAGAATTTGATCAATCTGTTCAGCTGTGCTCTGAGGATACTTGAGAAGCACACGCAAGCACATCCACCCTGAATCATAATTCACACATTAGCACTTCCAAGTTTAGAGTAAGCCAAAGTAGATGACAATCAAAGTCCAGAGTACCTATTGAGCATTTTGGCACCATCTCAAAATCGATTCTAGACCAACTTATCCCAATGATTTGCAACAAATTTACAGAAAAAAGGAAAATGGAAAAAAAAAAAGAAAAGAAAAAAGACAATTCACATTCTGATGCACATTATAGCATATGAAGCCCTATTGGAAGAGAGGGAAACAGAAGGTTTCTTGAATATCGTTCATGGTTCATAAGAATTAGATGCCAGTCAGAACTTTCTCAAAAGGTTCATAAGCAAATCCATTTTCCCATCTCTTGGTCTGTCTTACCTTCTACATCCTAGAGATCATCTTCTTCCTGCCTGTGTATCCCTATAATAAGAACGGAAATGGTTTTGTTCTCTACAGAAGGATTTCCTCTATTAAGATTCCTCCATTTTTCAATCAGAGAAGGGGCTTGGGGGTATGCTTGTTGCTACATCCAATGACTGTAGTCAGAGGGGTGAGAGAAGAATAATATAGAGATAACTAGCAAATTCATAAAAAAGTTGAGAGATTTTTGTAAGCCATCCATTCGGTATACTTAATAGATAGGGGGAGAGCAACGGCTGATAACCTTTTGTGAGTTAGTTTTTGCGTTTTGTTTTGATGGATTAAGTCAAAGATAATGGTCAAGCAAAGACAGAAGAATTCAGATGCAGAAGTATTGATAGGAGAGTTTCAGGCCTCTTTATTAGCCTGAATTGTACCGCAGAGACGAAAGACTGTGCTAGTCATGCGGTTGAGCTTGTGCAAGAGAAGTGTGTAGTTGGTGAAGAGTAAGGTAGGGTACAGTTGACAAGGCAAGTATGGGAGCATCATTCAAACGAAAATGTTAATCTATGTTGAAGCATCATAAAAAGAGTACTGAGTTTATTTTTATTGTTAGGTGGAGGAACAGACGTGATACTTCCATCAATCTCTAAGCCTGCATCCTATAGTTCAAGAGATGACCAAAGAGGATATTTCTTCAGTGTGAAACTGGGAGTCATTTATCTCTTGATTGTCAGTTCGAGAAAAAAAAAAAGCCGATTCTCACTTTCTAGATCAGTAGTTGCTCGCCTAGGAATCCAGAGGAACTCTTATGGCAACAGTTGTGCGGCTATCCTCCCTTCCTTTCTAAAGATAAAGTGATTCCTTACAATGTTGTAAAAGCTATCTCTTGGCCTACTTGGATAAAGAAACCAATTTTTTAGGACAAACTAGAGGTTCAGAGGAAATTCAGAAGTAGTGGACATTTTCTCATTCGCCCGAGAAAACAATTCCAGATTCTTCTGTAATGATGACATCTTTTTAAATAATAGCAATCGAAATATCTTATGTGAACTCCTTTCTTTAGTTTGGGAGATACCTGTTGATATAACCTATAAGTTTCATACAAAAAAGGCTGGTATGTTTGATCCTTATATATGATTGATTATCTAACTAGACAACTGAAAGGAATGATAGTAACCAAAACAAATATGAAAAGTATGATGAATAATNATAAAGAAAGAAAGAAAAGATAAAAAAAAAAAAAAAAAAAAAAAAAAAAAAAAAAACCTTGAGAATGTGAAAGAGACAAACCAGTCAAGCTGCGCCAAATCTCATGTCGTCATTGACAATTACTAGCATTCTAAGGCATATGTCGGAACCTGCAATTGAAACAAAACAAGCCTTATAAGATTACTGCA